AAAAAATAGATTTTTCATATGTTTTACTATGTGATCGACAAAAATTACGTAGACTTTTGTCCAGTGAGTGTATTTCACAGCGATTACCCTTTTTCGAGCCGAGGCTGGCTAGGCTTTTTGTTTTTAGAAATTGCTTTGGCAGAATAATCTTTCAAAAGTTGTCGATATCAAACGCGAAAGCACAAGTAATATGGATTTGTACTTTAGAATTACAAGCAAGATATAAACGATACTCTCAGGATGTTCACAATATCTTGTTAAACAGTCAATAAATTGAACGAGTCATGATGCAAATTTTGTTGTCTTGCTTCGTCAATGCTTCTTGAAAGCGTTTCCCAATTCATAGTTGCAACATATTTGATAACCGGCTGTTGAATGACGTTTTACACACAACTTTGCATTACCATGGCCCAAATTTTAGCGTATATGTAATAATGCCTCTCTTTTATTATGCGTAAATCAAAAATGATAGAAACCAGTTTTTACAGTCAGTGACAGATTAAAAACCAAATTCTGTTTGGCTAATATAACGGCAATATATACAAATAACAAGTCTTGCTTTTAACTCTTCCAACAAATATTAAAGTTTGGCGTGTGTATACAGAACAATGGTTTACAAATGACGTAATAAGCAGACGTAACTTTTATAATACTGTTTCGCGCGGCACGGATCACAAACTCAAATTACGTAGTATATCATGACATTGACGGTTGATAACTTTCAAGCGACAAAAAGAGAAGAAAACCGCCGTATTCTACTATTGATATATTACATCCCATTCAAGGCACGCGGTGAGTGAATGACGACATCTACGGACAGCATAAACAAAGATTGGTTGAGTTAATATTTCAATATTGACTGGAGCTTTTATCATATCACTCTCGCAGATAAACGATAAGAACGGTTCTGATTTTCCAAAATAATAAAATTCAAACTTTGTAATCCGATTCGCGGACAGGCCAGCGATATACAATGCAAATGCTTTAAAAACCGCGAGGCATACGTCTCTGTGATAAACTCGCCTCCATTATGTAAATATTATTTATGCCATGCGGCGAGCATCCTTTTGCCACGAACTACTAAACATATTTAACCTTCGAAGCAGGAAAATACCAATTTAAATTACTAGTTAAAGTATTAGTTATAAGAATGTAAATTAATGTTTTCATTATATTGTATTATCTCAACACATATGGTGAAATAAAGAACCGATTCTTGTCTTTTCTTGTTAACTGGTATACTTATTAATTGATAAATTTAATGCACGTTTGCAGCGATAAAACTGTCGCGCCAGCAATTAATGGAATAAAAATTACATGTGATGGTGCGGAGGAGATAAAAATAATGATATCATCTAATTTTATCTAAGAAATTAAAACTACCCCAAGATCTTCAGAAATTGGTTACTGTAACGTGACCGTATGTACGACGTCTTCAACCAGTCATCAGCTTTGAAATATTGTGTCACAAACAGATAATTGCGCGACGACATTTTTTTTGCAAGTGTGATTGCGGAGTGGGCATTATAAAAAGTACAACGCAGCGTAGAGTGTTTTATGGCAGTTAAAAACCTTGTAAAGCGTGTCAATAAACAAAAAAGTCTCTATATTGGCTGAAAAATTTGAAGACAGGTCGAGAGGAGTTATTAGGGGATAAAGACTATAATAACAAGACCGATATTTAGATCGTGAGTATAAATCGAGTATAAATCGTAGAATAAATCGTAGTTTAAACGTCACTAATCAAAGTATATCGATATATGAATATCATAGTAATATATTACATGTTCTGTTTATATAATGCCCGTGGTTTTGTCTCAGGTGGAGTTATGACCATGTGTAATACTGCTTAAAATGGTACAACTATACAAAAAATTTAATTAGAGTTTCGTCATCGTTTTCAAACTAAACCGGAATGTTATTACGCCAAACCAACATTAATACATTTTTCTTAAACCATGCATGGCTTGATTTAGAATATGATTGCTAATTCGAAAATAGTTATCAAAGTTGCAACAATAACGAATAAAAACCTCCTCAAAGTGTAATCGTTCTGCAAAGTTTACACATTATTGTTGTCATTTTGGTACATATATCGTAGTATTATTTATAGTCCGCATCGAAAAAGCGAAAACTAATAGCTGCGTAATTGTTACAGTTTTACATTGACTGGTTGGTTATCTGAGTATTGATGCTAAATATAGCATATTGTACCAGGCAAAAAAGTGTCAAATATTTGTGGAAAATAACGACAGTTTATGACGTAAATGCATAAGACTAAGACCATAATATTAGAAGCATCTGGAGCGACACCAAAAGTTATAAATAGGCACAGTTTGCCTCAATTTAGAGCAGTCAGCTCAACGACAGGAATTTTCTCTTAGCAGACTCAATAAAGAAGGTTATTGAGCATAAATGGTGGATCTTTATTCAGCACACGTGAGTGACCCTGCTTCAGCGTCGTACATGCGGTCACGTTACTGCAACCAATTTCTGAAGATCTTGGGGTAGTTGAATGAATTTACCCCGCCTCATCAATAATAGTAACAGTTTGTCGTAAAAAATGGTCAAAGAAACAGAACCATCAATCCCCGAAAGAGCTTTTATATTACAAGCACTTAAAGAGGGTTATCGGTTAGACTGCCGGAATAAATTAGAATTTAGAAACATAGACATCAAACTAGGACGCGAATTTGGGCATGCAGAAGTACAGCTCGGTTCCACTAGGTTGGCAGTTGTTTAGAAACTCTATTGTTTCGTAAACGAATTCGATCGAATTCTTATACTTTGTATAGAGTTTTTGCCAAGGTATCTTGCGAAGTGACACGTCCATATGAAGGGAGACCGACCGAAGGCATATTGGTGCTCAATACGGAAATGTCGCCTATGGCAGTTCCCAGCTTGGAACCGGGAAGGTGATAGATGTAGAATTAGTATATGGATCTCGATTCATGCAGTGTGGAACATATGCTCACAGAAAGTAAGTTTTTCTTTCTTTTTCACGGATCGTCAATACAAGACCATCGGAAGATGAAGTTCTTGCCAGCCGTATAATAGAAAAGGCTTTGAAAAGAAGCAATGCAATTGATACTGAAGGACTGTGTATTGTAGCTGGAGAAAAAGTACGCCAATTTTCAATACACTTGCAGTATTCTATGTACCGTATAGTACTAACTGTTTCTATGCTTTGTTCGCTTTTTTGTTGTAGGTCTGGACGATACGCATAGATATTCATTTCCTCGATCATGATGGTAACGTCGTGGACGCTGCCTGCATAGCTGCATTAACAGCATTGTCACATTTTCGACGGCCAGACGTTACTGTGGCTGGGACTGATGTTACGATAGTAAGCGTTTTCTACGTTTTTGAAAAGTTTTTCTTAAAAACACAAGTTTGCAAACTGATTTCCCTATTCTAGCATTCATTAAAATCACGAAATCCAGTCCCATTGAGTATACATCATATGCCCATATGCGTAACATTTGCATTCTTCGATAATGGGTAAATATTTGCTTTATTTTTCGATTACATATGTCTTGGTATTTTATTGAGAACTAAGCATATCAATCACTCTTCTTTTAAGAAATCTCTTTGTGGTTGACCCGCTTCACCGGGAAGAACAGGTCCGTGAGGGTGACATGACTTTAACCATAAACAAACACCGAGAGATCTGTGCTATTTCAAAAGCTGGAGGGATACCGTTAGAATTAGAGACAATCGTAGAGTGTTCACAAATTGCGGCATTAAAAGTTAAAGATATAACTGCATTGATTCAAGCAGCTCTGGACCGGGATGCGCAGGAAAGGTTTGTACATTTGTTTAAAGATGAGTTGGGAGAAAACTTGATCCGGTCAATAATGTTAACTATCTTCTCTGTTTTTTACAGGAAATTTGGTACCGTCAGTTGAAAGCTAGTAATTGAATATCTATACGTAAATTAAATTGTTAATAGTCAACAGCAGCCCAAATTGATCAACAATCGATTTAAAGGCGTCCTACTCCGTGGAGATTAACAACCAAGCATATTAATATCGCTAATTAGTTAAAACTCAGCTGAACACATCAACCTCTCATTCATTCATGTCACATAACTGTTCATTTTCAACGATTTAGCGAAAAATGTTGGTTCACACTACGCACTTGTCCAATGAGTTTCATCTTCCCTAAAAGTTAATAACCTTTATTCTATAAACTAAACCCGGGATGGGACCCGCTGAAATGGTTGACGTATTATAGTCAGGTTCAATTATCTGAGACAAGTATGTTTGGTCGATGGGAAATAGAGAAGACTAACTCTTGACTATAACCTGAATTAAGGGTGGTAGGATACTTATGACTACTACACTTTCCAACGAACAAAAAGAAGAGGACGATGCCATTATTGGCAGCGTTACGTAATAAATGTTTATTCAATACCAAGTTCGCGTTACTGTTGATGTTCCCACTGGCTCTATGTCCACCACAAAGAATACCAGCTCTACCCCTCCTCTATCTTTTACTCTTGATTGACTTGATAGGACGGTAATCAGTGACTCGGAGATCTTGCAGCTGAGGGACGACGTGTAAACATGAATAGTATTGTATTTGTATGTATTTATAACATAAGAGCCAAGGCAGAGATAACGTTGTACATGGCCATATGCAGTATTTCAACGTACCACATGATAATCTGTAAGATCGCTAAATATAGTGCGTGGTAGACTCGTTTCAACGTAAATATTAAGTATGGATAGTCAATATTCGGAACTAGCAGATACCTGGGTATGACATGTAAAACTACACATGTTCACCTTCCATTATTATGAAATAATTGATAATTGTATTAATTTTTATCAGGAAATTGGGCACTCAATATCCAATGTCAAGAACAAAGGGAAAGGCAAGCAGCTTGATGATGAGGAGACTGAAGATGGGCTTGTGGGAGACCTCATTAACTTTGACAGTGACAGTGATAGTGACAATGATGACAATGGTGAAGAAGATTATGGACAAATGTTTCCTGCAAACTTGGGCAATGTGGAATTAAATGAGCAAATAACTACAACTTTAAAATTGGTTGTCAATGAAGATAATAATAACAGGGCAGATCATCTTATTAAATTGTCCAACTTGTTGTTATCATTTGGTACTAAACTGAAGGATAGTCAATTGAGAGATGCTTTGCAAACAATTGGAACTAATGTTTCATATAATGCATATAAGGTGTCCACTGATATTGAATTGGAACTACATCTTAGAGCAAATGCATTAGCTTTAGAAGCATATGGCAGACGACTTGTTAAGATAGAAAAGGAGTTATGTGAAAGCTTGCACGAAAATCTTGCAAAATGGTATGATGTTCATCAGCATTATACCAAAATATTAGAAAAAGGTTTGCAAAGCACAATGGCTTTATCTGCAGTTGCAGAAGAAAGTGTTAATGTTCAAAATTATGACACTGATTTCTTTCTTATGCATCTTTATCATACCCTTCATCTGATGGATATTGATAATAATAACAAGACTGTTTGGCTTGAAATTCTAAACCAGCTGAGGGCTCTGTTTGCTACACTTATTGAAGCTTTGCCTGGT